GTATTCTGTCTCTCGGTGTTAACTCACTAATGTTTCTACGTAATTACATTTACCTTGCGATTAATGGAGCTGCTAGAGTGTATTATGTTATAATATTATAGCTTCCGGATCACAGCGAAGATCATAAATATACTGTCAGAAAACTATAGCCTGTGTCTTCTCGTGGATGGTACACGATAGCACGTGATTATGTTAATTTCTTGTCCAATAAGCTATCGTGTAGGGCGGTACTAAAAAAAAACTCACACGCTAAACTTACACAGTTGTAGGGAATTAAGTTTAACAACACGCTTCAGTAGCAAATTGTGGTCACGTGCATGATGAGACAACCTACATGCAACAACCCTGCATAAAGCATCTGGGAGTTGAACCTTTTCAATGCTGGATCGGTGTTATGAAATTAGCTGTAAGGAACATCGGTTGGAGTTTAAAGAGATTAGTAAGCGGTTGGCCTTAGGCCAGTCTCTATGGGATTATGGAATTACAATACTCGAAGTCGTTGTTACATGATTGGAGTGAGCGAATTAATGATGACCTTTCTAAGGTCAGCCAGTATGGAGACTACAAGAAACCCTATGGTTCTGAAACATTATAATCTGCTTTTCCGGAAAAAGATGTTCAGCATGAGTTTCGGAAAAAATATAAAAGACAGGAGTTCAACGAAAAAAAAAAAGAGAGAGAAAGAGAAAATCGAGAGATGTGTGAGAGAAAACGAAAAAATCGAAAGAGGCGAAAGAAGAAAGTAATACGCTGTCAGAAAGAAACTATTTCTAAACCTAATTTGTTAGTTTACGTTGGTTTCAGTCAATTCTTGATAGGAAGAAGTACAATTTTAGCATTGTATCCCTCAAGTTTACAGCTGACCTGTTAATGGTTTTCATGTTGATACACTCAATGCATTTTTGATATAAAGAAGTTTTAATTGTTCAAGGAGAAGCTCCTTTTTTTGTCTTTAGCTTCACACGAGATCAAAACCAGTCGGTCAAACTGGCGCTAGGAAATAACACAAGAGTTTAAAATATTTATCTGAATTGCGTGAGGCTAATCTAATCTTCACAAATATAACCCGTTTAATCTTGTTTATTTTGCTGACGTTTGTCATTCATTTCATGCGGATTCACTCTGTTTGTTCGGTTATTATTTATGTTCGGACGATAATCTGTCACCAAGCTTGAGAACTTAGTCACAGATGGTCTAATTTCGTTAGAGAAACAGACATTTTTGTGCTGTACTTCAGCCACGTTCATGCATATTGGATTTTATTTTTTGTTTGTTTGTTGTTAATCACAAGGCCACATCTGTGTTCTGCTGACTACGGGTATCGAAACCCGATTTTTAGTGATCTAAGCTGTCTGATTCACCAACAGAGGGCGATGGGTATAATAAAAGTTTGTTTGTTATGCACAAAGCTACACAAGGGCTATCTGTGTTCTGCCCACCACGGGTATCGAAACCCGGTTTCTAGCGTTGTAATTCCGTAGACATGCCTCTATGCCACTGGGGGACATAATAAAAGTACTTGTATATAAGTATATTTTTTTTCTAACCTTTCTAACTCAAACAATTAGAAAACAAATTGACAACAAGCTGGAGAATAATGAAACGGAATTTTTCTTTCTTCGTTTCCTTCTGTTCTTCCTGTTTGGTTGTTTTTATATTTAATATATGTACATGTAAAGAATCAAATACAAAAAAACCTTAACCAGTTTACTCTTGGCTGGTAAAATCTACGAAGTAGAAAAATAAATATTTAAAACTTATTTTACAATTAATTTAAAACCAAAAGATATACGTTTTAATCCCTTAACAAATTAGTCTTTAGTGTTTCATTAAAAATGTATACTTAGAAATAAATCCTCGAATTAAGTTTCAAAAACCAAACAAGCTGGTTGTCACGAGACTTTGCTCGCTGATTTTAACACAGGTGGCGCATTAGAACACGCGCCAAACAACGTGAATCTTTCACCTCGCATGCCTTTGATAAATTCCACATTTAATAGAACTCTGACAAAAAAGAAGCATGTAAACGGAAGAAACAAAGATTATTTAACATAATTAAACATTTTATAATGTTTTGAACAACGTACTTTTTATCGAATCAGTTTATAAAAAAAAACAAAACACTCAGACATTAAGGTAACTGGTGTGTTTGTTTTTGAATTTCGCGCAAAGCTACACGAGGGCTATCTGCGCTAGCCGTCCCTAATTTAGCAGTGTGAGACTAGAGAGAAGGCAGCTAGTCATCGCCACCCACCGCCAACTCTTGGGCTACTCTTTTACCAATGAATAGTGGAATTGACCGTCACATTATAACGCCCCCACGGCTGAAAGGGCGAGCATGTTTGGTGTGACGGGGATTCGAACCCGCAGATTACGAGTCGAGCGCCCTAACCACCTGGTCATGCCGGGCGGGGCAAAGAAATGCTTTTACTTACAGAGATGGGACAACTATCTAGATTTTGGACCTGCTATCTTACTGACCAAAGTTCCCGGAGTATAAGCAGTGAGTGACAGGAGGGTTAAAATTTTATTGAAAAACATCCCTCACAGTGCTGTTGGTGAGTTGTTGGCTAAAGTTAAGGAGACTGGAACCATGGACCATTGACACGAATATATTTCACAGTGTTGAAAAAGAATGGAAATATCTTCTCCGGCACGTGGAACATATTCCGTGGTCCCAGACGTTTCGGGCACCCATTAGTTGAAGTGCCTATGGTTTCAGACGTTTCGGGCACCCATTCGTTGAAGTGCCTATGGTTCCAGACGTTTCTGGCACCCATTAGTTGGAGTGCTTGTAGTTCCAGACGTTTCGGGCACCCATTCGTTGAAGTGCTTGTAGTTCCAGACTTTTCGGGCACCCATTAGTTGAAGTGTCTATAGTTCCAGACTTTTCGGGCACCCATTAGTTGAAGTGCTTGTAGTTCCAGACTTTTCGGGCACCCATTCGTTGAAGTGCTTATAGTTCCAGACGTTTCCTGAATTAAGCTTTTTGCTTTTGTGCAATTTAGGTGAAATATATGCATTTTCTAAACTATTTTGACCTAACCTAACCTAACCTAACCTGCAATACCGCTTCTATCTCAGCAAATAAAATCGTCGTGTCAGCAACCAATTTTCCTGTTATATTCTTAACATGAAAACTCTAGCAAGTTAAGATCTAATTAATTCCACCCACTTGCGTCTTCTTAACCTTTCCTACTAAGTGTTCCTGAACGAAGAACTGGAATTTTAACCTCAAAGGCTCCTTATGCGCATGTGAGCTGAATGGTCAGGTCAAAGATTCGTGTAATTCAGGAGTAGTCGTCTCTAATTTTGAACTGTTGGCGAAAAGGAAGACAGCCAGCAGAAATCAGCGGCGTGAAAGTTTGACAGTCACTTTTATATTGCGCCCACAGTTCAGGCCTAATCCAGCAGTATGACATGTCGAACCTTGGACGTTTCCATCCACAGCCCGAGTCACCACTCTTTGTGTGAACTGATATATTAAAGTGCAGGCGAATATTTAATTGAATTCATTGAGACGTTTACGTAAAATGTAAACGAAAATCATATCGTGATCCAAAAATGTTATATTCATATATCACGCTCACATTTTTATATCCGATCGACCTTTGATGTTAATTAGTTTTTTTTTGTTTTCCTTTCGTGAAACATCTTATAGCAGTTTCTGTAATATTTTAATTCGACGTGATTAATAGGTACTTAATTAAATTTTCTAGTGTCGTTTCATGGGTTCAATTAAAGTGAATTATTGATCCTCTCTAGTAGACACAATATATCTATCTATTGATGACGACAGTAAAAACGTTCAAACTTGTTTTACATCTTCGGTGTTGCTGTCAGCTAACCCTACTACTGAAGTAATTAATTAATTAATTACTAAAATTTTTGTTATACGAATACCTAAAGACCTTTTTTTTGTCCTTTATACTTACTTCTTTATAAACACAAACATATCTGTCTATCTAATTTAGAATGTTTTATTGTAAGCTGTACAAGATGAGAATAAATAGATCCGAATAGTAGTGAAACCTACAACAAGAAAGGTTAAATACTTGTATGAAATAGATCTACGTTCATCAACTGCTTTTCTACTTCTTTTTTTTTTTATAGAAAATACTTTAATAATTTCTCCAATAATTTTATTTCTTTACACTGCCGACGTAATGTTACAATTCTGTAAAATCTCTAATTGTTAGAGAGTCCAGTTTCTTCTCTGGGTGAGGCTAAAGAACACCGTCACGGATGAAAGATCCAGTTTCTTCTCTGGGTGAGGCTAGAGAACACCTTCACGACGAAAGGTCTCGTTTCTTCTCTGGGTGAGGCTAGAGAACACCGTCACGGATGAAAGGTCCAGTTTCTTCTCTGGGTGAGGTTAGAGAACACCGTCACGGATGAAAGGTCCAGTTTCTTCTCTGGGTGAGGCTAGAGAACACCGTCACAGATGAAGGGTCCAGTTTCTTCTCTGGGTGAGGCTACAGAACACCGTCACAGATAAAAGTGATATTTCGTGTAGAACCGGAGAGGCGAATATTGTGTTTAGTGACTAGGGTAATTAATGTATCGTCGCCAGATGTCACTACTAAAATCGGTTCTACTTTCACCTTGAAGAACCTTAGTGTCGGTTTGAACAATAACGTTTATTGTTTCTGTACTTCGAAACAGTCTTGGTGTTCAGAACAACTATTCATTTCAGATGAGCCACAGAGAGAGAGATTTTGTAACTTACCGAAGCAGCTAATGACCTCTTAAGTTGGAATACATTTTATAACTTATACTTTAAGTACGAATACGTATGTTGATTTTTAGTTATTAGCAGTATTGAAAATGTATTTTCAGTGAAATATTTAAACGAATGAAAACGTCGCTTTTTTTTTCCAGTTGCTATTTCCATGAAGACTAACCCGTATTACCCATTTTCCAGATGCTATTTCCATGGAGACTAACCCGTATTGCACATTTTCAAGATGCTATTTCCATGGAGATTAACCCGTATTGCACATTTTCAAGATGCTATTTCCATGGAGATTAACCCGTATTGCACATTTTGAAGATGCTATTTCCATG